AGAGAGAGAGAGAGAGAGAGAGAGAGAGAGAGAGAGAGAGAGAGAGAGAGAGAGAGCGCTTCGTTTGCGAATATTGTGTTGGGTGAAATTTGTGTGCTAAGCCTTTCCTGTGCAGAATCCAAATGTGCTTTTGGATTATTCCAGTCGCTTATAACTTTCGCGAATGACATTCTACATTGTAACACTACAAAATTATATATTTTTAATATCATTTATTGGCAACTTCTTTTTTTTGTGTGAAGAACATTTTTTTGTGTAAAGAACATTTTTTGAGTACTCAGCATTTAAGGTATAGTCAGCTAGTATATTTGACTCTCACTTGTCTAGATATCAACCTATTTCAAGGTCCAATTATAGGACCAATTTATATTCCTTATAAGAGACAGAATGATCAGAAATTTTGATTATATTTTTGAATAAAATACTTCTGCATAAGAAATAATAAGAAATATTAGAAATGTTGCGTATGCTTTATTGTATTTGTCAGAGTTGTCTATTTCATGTCTTGACAAGGATGGCAATAAACAATTGATTATTTTTTTCGAATAACGCTTGTATTATAACCGAATTATGAGAGCCTCAGTCGAGAGTAGATTAATGTTCGCGACAAAATAATTATCGTTCCTGTTGACACGTGAATTGTTTATTGAAATTGCTATAATATACACATCTATTTTCAAAGAGGCGGCAGAGGACGAAATTGAACATACGAATTAATTATCTATATGTATGTGTATATGTGTGTGTGTGTATATGTATGTGTGTATATATATATATATATATATATATATATATATATATATTTATAAATATTTCAAGTATTATTTATTGCCTACATTTAAGTCGAGTTTAGCGTGAACTTGGAAGAAACGTCGCATGTCGCCGCGAACGGAAGAGACGAGTTTCGAAAAGGAGAGCGCGCAATCGTTTCCGCCAAACCCGACTACGTCGGCTAGAATTCCGACTGTCTCGGGCTTTGAGGAAAACGGTCTGCGTGAATTACACAGGATATCCGTTGATATATGAAAAGAAATCCGACAGTACCACCGGGGTGAACTCACCGTGTCGCTTGTGTAATATGAGTACATAGGAAACGTCATCTATTAAAAGACGACTCGACTATGAATCAGCCATTTACTGCTCGAATTGTTAATTCCACCATCGCTCTCGCCATTCTCTGGTTCTCGCGAGCTTCCTCGTTTAGATTCTTGTCTCGTGATAGTGCGTATCGACAGTCGCGTGGAATTCTCGAACGCACGAGTACCCGAGACTCTTCCATCATCGACTGAATTGAAATTTCGCGTGCCAATACACTTTGAAACGCGACTGTACTACACGCGAGCGATCCGTCTCGCTTTAACCGTGGCAGCGTTCGATTTGAACTTCACTCATTCTCCGTTCCGGTTTCGAGCTCGAGCACTCACTCCTTCGATGTTTTTATCGACCCTAAGATTTCGAGGTACTCGCCAGCACCTGCGACGTCGTGCTCTTCGTCAAATTAGTTCCACCCACTCGGCAAGCAGGCAGGCAAGCGAGCGGGCAGGCAGACAGGCAGGCAGGCACTCGAGAGTTCGAGCCACGGAATCGAAGGTATCCAGTCCGTTGAGCTCGTTAGAGACCCGCGTAAAATCTGCATTCGCGTACTTTCCGCTAACGAGGATAACGAAGCGTGCGTTAACGGGGAATTAACGAGCGCCATCGCGCGCGGTTGCACGTGAAGACGGAGACGTTCGTTCGTTCATTCTCAGGTGCACGTAGGTGCACGTAGGTGATCCGAAGACTAAATCGCGCTCCTCCTCATCGCGGTGAAACATCGACGAGATGAAACCCCGCGCGAGGTCGAGGACTGCTATCGTTGTCCTAAATCGGGTTAAGTATCGACGCGGCTCTCAGGGCAGATGTGCTCTTCTTCATATGTTTGTAGTCGCTATAGAACGTGTAAATCCCGAAGCGCACTTTTTATGCAGCACCAGTAATTTTTCGCGACAGGATGAAAGATGACTTGACGAAACTTTTAAGATGCGAGATCGAGAAGTTCTGTACGTTAAGAATTTAAAACAATATGTAAGGGAAAACGTTCACACACAGTATAGTCGGCATTCCATGGAGATTTATTAGTTATTTACTAATTATTATGGTTTTTTCATCCCCATGCAGTTTAATATTTGATCAAATCTGTGCAAGAGTGTTGAAAACTGGCAGAATACTGGTTGCTGAGCGTTTTATCCTGCCTTATTTGAAAAATCTAGGGTAAAATGTTCAATAATCGATACTCTGCCTGCTTTCCACACTTTTTTTGCGCAAATTTTACCACATATTTTATCAAATATTAAATTACATGGAGATTTATTAATTATTTATCAATTTAATATATTCCTTAATATTTGATGAAATCCATATAAGAGTGTCGAGAATTGGCAGAGTGCTAGTTACTGAACGTTTTATTCTATCTTGATAGAATCTAGAATAAAACATCTAGTCATTCTTGTACGAATTTTATTAAATATTAATAAAGTGTGTATAGAGATTTATTAACTATTTGTTTTCTTAAATCTCTATACATCTTAACATTTAATAAGACTCGCGTAAGAATGCCAAAAACAGGCGGAATGTCAACTATTGGACGTTCTAATATGTAAGTGGCCGCGTTATCAATATCTTTTCATCACCGCGGTTAATCGCCGTTCTTTCACGTAAGGACAAGACGGTCTAAAGTGGTCTAATCGCGAAAATATGTAAATATCGCCGAGAAATTTGGCCGTTCAGTGTCAACGTTCACGGCGCGAACGGCATTAATACGTCCCATTATACATTCCTCGTGAAATGTACCTGTATTCAGATCTCACCTCGGATGACCCAGTTTCTTAGCTTCGAAGCACGTCGACGCGATCGAAGATTCCTTGCGACGTTAAATTGCAATTACTCGCTTAAGTCGCAATTACGTTACGTACGCGAATGCGCGCGCCGCGCCAAAGAGCGGACGTAAAAGCGACCATTCCGTGAGGAACATTGAACTCCATGTCAAGATCATTACCTCGACAGCTAGGAAGCAGTTTCCTGCGTTGCACAAGTGACTGAGTACGAATGTGGACGCGTTGGTGCGAATAGGATGCCGATTTGCGCACGGGAGAGACCGAAACCGGATTTGGTGTCGCCGTCCTTTCGTGTGTCGGTCCGCCGTGCTTTCTTTCGTTTGTTTCTCCGTTGAACGCGCACGTCTCTCACGAGCGCGTGAGAAAACGGATATCCTGCGGATGGTCCAGGCATCGTGCGAAATGTCGCACGAACGCCATCAGGAAAAGTTTTCCGTGGAAAGTATTTCCGCGCGAGAGCTCAACGCGGGATCTGTTTGCTTTTCGTCGAACTCGACGAGGCGAGGCGAGAAAGAAGCCACGGGATACGATACGTGTCTCTTATCTTTATAGACTCGCAAACGCGCATATGGCGCGATCCGAGAATTCGGCAGAATAAATTACACAAAGTCTTGTGACGTAAGAGAAAATTGACTTTTATTGTTATACGAAAATTGACTTTTATTGTTATACGCAGAGGAGGGGGATGTGGTGATAACAATGGCACAACCTTTCGTCAAAGAGTCAATTGGTATCGCCCGACCAAAAATTTATTCTATGGTCCTAATCAAATTGATTCCAATCACAATCATCTTTGTATAAAGTTTATTATCGAATCCTGATAAGTCATGTAACACAGCATGATAATCAGGCATAATAATTAATTTTATACGCTGAGAAAAAAAATGTTTAGTGTATGTAACTATAATCACACAGAGAAATAATTACTGGTTTATGGTCAAGAAAACTATTTTTTATTAAATTTTACTGTAATATTAGTTAATAATCTAATTGCATGTTGCCACTACAAGAAATATGGCAGGGGCCAAAAATAACCATAATTTTAGTTAAATCAACCATTTTCTCCTCTCGATGTACAATTTCAATTAATGAAATTGTTCATGATATTACATATATAACGATTGATAAATTTCGATTATTGATTCACCGATTATTTCAGTCAAAGAAAATTTTCATCAAATTGATGTGCAACGTTGTTGATAATCTTTATTATTAATCCCACACTGCGTCATAAGACTTATTAGAACTCGGTAAAAAACCTCAAATAAAGCAGACAACTGACTGGGATAAATCCCGGTTAAATATTAAGAAAACAAATGTTCACCTTTGTCAGAATGTCGCCGTGCCGTTTAAAATTTAGAGGATGAACGAGGAGGTTCGCCATATGCGTCGTCGAATCGTTTCGACGACGAATATCGAAGCACGCATAAAAGTATCAGCGTATTCGCGGCTGTACCATCGTTATCGACGCATCCTGTGTACGGTCGACTTCCTTCGTGAGTCTGATTACCACCTGTAAATTTCGCTATCGTTTCGCTTCGTCGACACGACGATACGAGAAAACGATAACATATCAGAAATAGCATTCGCCCAGCGAAAGAGCGACGCGTCTAATCGGTTTTCGCGACAGTTCGATATATATTTTGCGCTTAATCCTATTATCGCGCAAGAATGACTCTCGCGCGTTCCGAGCGGGCGTAACGAACACGAGGATCGCGTGCGCCGCCGTACAAGTCTATTAATTGCACCTCTCCGTTTCGATTCGCGCGCCCCAAGAGGCTGAAATCGCGCGAGTGCTCTTTGCACAGCCGCCGTTTTTCGCTCGTAAATCTTTCCGCGGGCATTTCGCCGCGCGCGTTTCGTAATGCGCCGCAATTAAATCGCAGAACGGAGAAAAATACTGTTCGCGACCGCCAAACGGTTACACCGGTACGGTCGGCGGCAGGAAAGAAAGATAAAAGGGAAGAAAAGGAAAGAAAAGGGATCTGATAGAGGGAGAGAGACAGAAAGAGA